TGGTGGAGGTCGTGATCCGGCGAGGGTTTCATCGGAAGCTTAGGGTTAGGGTTTCCTAGGGTTTTGGAATTTTGTGTTTTATTTAATAAATTTCCTTTCGTTTTGTAGGTTTTTCAGTTGGAGTTCGATTGGGTTTAGATTTTGGGGCCTGAAGTCCCGATGTTTGTGGAGTTTTTGGGTAGGGATTTTAAAGTCCTAGAAGCCGTTAAATGTCGGTTCTGTGCTTTCGCGGCTTTTTCATCACGTGATTTTCCCGGTTTGCACGTGAGCACTCTCTTTTGTTTCGTTTTCAAATAAAGTTTTTGGGTTTTTTTAAATATTAGTCCCCGACATCTTTCATATTTTGAAGCTAGTTTCCCCGAATCATCATATGTTCAAATTGTTAGACCCTAGAGGGGGGTGATTAGGGTCTTATGCTAATCTAATCCGATTATATGTCAATTAAAATTAATTAACAAGTTATCCTAGCAAGTATGAAATACCATAAGATATATGAGCTAGGAGAAACAATATAAACAATGAGATATATCCTATATGATAAAATATATATGCAAGGATATATAAACCAACACAAGGGTAAACAATATGAAACAAGATAGAGGATGATATGAATAATGAGACAATGACGATATGAGCAATGAGGACAAATATAAATAAACGCCAAAGCACATTCAAACACACAATATGATCACGGAGTTCGGACCTTCCGTCCTACGTCTCCGTTCCCCACTCCCGGGGAGAAATCCACTATCACAACCGGGTTTTCTACGTTCACCCGAATAACGTTTACACCTCACAGTGTCGGTTTTCAACGCTCACCGAACAACGTCACTCCTCACACTCGGTTTTCTAGTTCACCGAAAACTTCACAACACACTCGGTTTTCTAGCTCACCGAAAACCTTACACCACTCACAATCTAACAAATATAAATTTGTTCTCTACAATAGATGAGAACTCAATTAAGCACAAACTCAATGTTACAATCTCTCACAACCCTAATATACTATGTATGCAAATACAATAAGCTCAAGTTGGTGTGTGTAACAATGAGATAATATAATCAAATCTAAACTCAATATAAAAACTAGCTTTAAAGAATGATAATCAAATAACTAAGCAAATGTAAAGCTAGATAGAGTTTAGAAAACTTCTCCAATAGATGACAAGATGGAGAGATGGAGATTGGAGCCCAAACAAGAAGATGATCTCCTCCACTTGTGAAAACAATCTTCAAACCAAACAAACACTAAAACACACTTAAACCCTTGTTTAAAACTCTTTAAACTTGTTTAAAACATTTCTTGAGTACCCTTAGAAGTATGAGGGCATGGAGTATATATAGGCTCATGAAACAAGCCCAAAAACCCAAGAAAACCAAGCAAAAAGACAAAATAATGGATATATCAAAACCTGGAAAATATAGCCGTTGTGCTACAGTAACCACGTCCAGAGAGTTTGGCGGTCGACCGTACCGGTCGACCGCTGGTACTGTAACACTATATTTCAGTTTTGTAAAATCAATTAAAAATAGTAAAACAGCTCTAAAAAATATGAAATTTTGTGGGAAGGTTATAGACATGTAGAATAACATGTTAGAGAAAGAATTTCTGAAAAATCATTTCCCAGTTGAGAGAAATAAATGTTTGAACACAGATTTACAGTTTCTGAAAAACTGCTGACATACACTATTTTGTAAAATCAATTGGGTACAGTAAATCAACTCCAAAAATAGTAAAATTTTGAGAGAAGCTTCTAAACATGTAGATAAACATGTCAAAGAAAAAAATTCTTGAATACCACTTCCCATTTATGAAAACTCATCTGTTTTGTAAAAGATGCACGAACATGTGCACTAACAAAAACATGATTTTGTAAATTCCATTAAACATAAAAAATCAATTCCAAACTTGATGAAACTTTGCGAAATGTTTATAAACATGAAAACAAACATGTTAGAAAAAGAATTTCTCAAATTAAATTTCTATTTGTGAAAATTCATGTATTTTGCAAGTGTGTCCAAAGCATAAAAACTCAAAACCATGCATGTATATATATAACTATATATATACATAGAAACCAAATACGTGTGTGTATATGATATTGAGCTTAAGGTACTTAACACACATAATATAAAATCTAAACTAGATTACCCAAGCTTGATCTTGATCTTCATTGTAGCTCAACTTGGTACACATGCGGATGAAGCTTGAACTTGATCTTTAACTTTGAATTGTGTAGGCTTCACTCCACTATTCCGCCAACCTCCATTGGATATGATCGTTGAAGCTCTATTCCATCCATCCTCCAACTACGTTGTTTGTCTACAAAACATAGGAATGCACAAACACTAGACAAACAACATTAGTAATAAATTGTTTGTTAAACATCATCAAAACAAAGAGGCCAACAATCTCCCCCTTTTTGATGATGACAAACAATTTACAAAAAAAGGAATATATGCATGAAGGAAATGAACATATACAGGATAATAACTCACATGCATATAAACAAACAAGATAGATATACTCACAATATTTCTCCCCCTTTGACAACATCAAAAAGGGGACAAAAGAATTAAGAGAGCAAAAGCTCCCCCTTTTGAAAAAAACTCTCCGAAACTTCACGGGAGTTGAACTCCCGTGAAGTTTTTTGAACTATGAAACTTCACGGGAGTTCAACTCCCGTGAAGTTTCGGAGAGTTTTTTTCAAAAACCGACCTGGTTTCAGCGCTGAGGCTGAAACCAGGTCGGTTTTTGCAATTATTTTTGAATGGGGTCGTTTTTGGGGAATAAAAGTCCAAATAGGTTGGTTTTGAAAATTTGTCCACAAGAACGTAGTTGCATGCCAGCCATTACAAGAAAACAAAGTTTTTTAAATGAGTATGATTTTATTCTTTACTAATTATATTATAGAATCATATGAGTTATGTAAGATATCATATGATAAAACATGTTTTTTTTTAATATTTTCTATATTTTCTAACTTTTAAGACTCTATTAGATGACTGCTTCGAAGTTTTCTTTACAGATTTTCCAAACTTAATTTTTCTTACGAACAAAACAATACGTGGGAAATGTCCAAAACCAAGTTAGAGGGCAGACCACGATACCAGTCACGGGAAAACCACGTTCGTACGCATGCCAAAAATGGGCTTTATTACATGGCCTGAGTTGACCTGGGCCCATCTGGGAGAATGGGCCGTTGTTGCAATTCGTAACGCCATGGGCTCAACTGGATGAGCCCTTTTTTATGCCTACTCCCAGGATTTAGTCTCACTCACCTCTCTTAACCCCTCTCCTGCTTGAAGGCACTCGATGACAAATTCCATTCTGATAATATTTGTACTCCCAATATTTCATTCTGATAACTAGCTATTTCATTTTCATTCGTATGTTATATGATTGAATAATTGTAACTGGATTATATTTTTGAGTATTTTTATATTATTGTTAGAATGATAAGGCAAACCCGTTTATCTCATTATTGATTTGTAGACCAAGTAAAGAAGCCTTCCAACTTTTGTCACACACTTTACATCTTGAGTTATACCGGCTGAAACGTATCCGCTTGCCAGATTCAAGTTGTAAAATGCTCGAACCTGCTATAAATTGAGATGAATCAGGAAACCTACAAATTGAATTGGTTGGGTATAAAACCGCGACTCTCAATCATCGTTACAATTTCAGAGTTTTGACGTAGTGGTAAGATCCTTCAATATGGTATCAGAACAATCCATGTTTAACACGTTACAGTTATGTATTCTCACAAAAACGCTTATTTTATGAAGCTGTATTTTTCCGAGTTGGTAACTTGAATCTCATTTTCAGTATTGCTACGCGGGCAACCTCTTAAACGCTACATAAATGCGAATTCAAAAAGAAAAAAAGGGGAAAAAAAAAGTTACATAAACCGTGATCTCCATTAATCAAGTCAGACACCACCAGCAAACAACTCAGAAATTGCCCTCCGAGCTTGGCTATTCAAAGGACAGTTGCATGTACAACCCTTTTGAATACTAGCTAGGGCCTTGACCCACAAGTGCACACCTCTGGGACCACTTGCAGCTGGCTGTCTCTCACTATAGTTACTCTTCGGGGGGCCCACCCCACTTTGATCTTTGGGAAATTTGCGTGTTTAGGGTTCTGGATTTTTCGAAAGCCTTCCACCTCAAATTTTTTTTTTTTTTTAAGACTGTTGATATTGGAGTATTTTTTAGATAGATTTAGGGACAGAGATTAAGTCCAAAGTTACTCGTTTGCAAGGTACAAAATCAGCGCAATTTTAACTCAAAATATCAGAGTAAAATTATTTCATGTACGATAGAGTTATAACTTATAAGCTTACCAACGCGAAGAAACAAAAAGACTGACCATTAATTTCTAGTTTGTTCTCATTCCCTACTATCCGGTATTTTCGTCATTCTAAATTACTAAAGTAAAGGTCGAGATATTTTCTTAAAAAAATAAATAAAGAATTCAGAAGATTCATAGAAAAGGTAGCTAGAGAACAATAAATTGTAGAAAATTCCAGGGTCTAAACATATATTTCACTGCACCTTCTCTTTTTCAACACAAGAAATATGTAGTTTCACGAGCTTTGCTACAAGGACCCAAAATATGAGACCAACAGGGAGGACATGTGAGGTGTTCTCCTCCTATTGCATAATGAGCTGGTCATCATTAATAATGGTCAGCTCATTATGCAATAGGAGGGGGACACCTCACCTGCCCCTCCTGTTGGCCCCATATTTTGGGTCATTGAGAATTTTTCTTGGTGATGACCAGCTTATTATGCAGGAGGGGGACACCTCACATGTCCTCTCTGTTGGTCTCATATTTTGGGTCATTGTAGCAAAGCTTCAGATGGTCAGAAATAAACTAGGATCCAGAGGAGCACTTCACTGTAAAATTCACAGAGGGATAACTAAGTGTAGGGACAATATTTGCCTTTGGGAGTAAAGAACTTAGTTATCTATTAACAATAAAAACACCCACCTATAAACACATTATGTAAAGACAAATAGCTTAATTGGACAAAATTAGGCCTTGATTATTATAGAAATAATAAGATTGGCCACCACTTCCAACACTAGAAACAAAAAGCATCAATTCAAATAGAGCACTACAAACACCCACTTGATAACACATTACGTAAGGACAATATATGTAGGTTGTATAAGCCAATATTAAACATTTAAAACCATATTAATAAAAAAAAATTAGATGCATTGGCCACCTACTAGGAGACACATCAGAGCTTGCAGCTTCCAAAAATTTTATATATCCATGATAAACTAGAGTCCATGAATGACAGGGATATTGAAGCTTTAGAGGAAAGCAAAGGGTGTATTGAAAATAAAAGACACAAGTCACACAACCCTAGGCTTAAATTCACTTTGGTAACTAAAACATTAATTACCCATTTCTCATTTATTTGATATCCGAAGGTTTTTTTAACACTTTTATACGGCTAAAGTCTCAGTCTCATTCACTTTGATATATACTCTCATCCAGATTTCATCAGATTTTCTGTTAATAAATTGATAGTTTGCTGCTACTGAAGAACACTTGATTGTTTAAAAAATTCTAGCAACTGGGTAAAATGACCTAAATGTATTGCCAATTTAATTGGAAATTCTAAGGAGGAAGGATAAAATAAGTCGGATTGTTATAGGCAATTTAATTAGATCAATTAATTAGACGTAAGACCATTAATTATCAGTAGATACGGATCACCTCATACATCTCCAAATGCATTCAAGTCATGAACTATATTACTGAAACAACTAAATATTGTAAATCACCATGATTGATGCATAACCAGGGCTTAAAAATCTCTGTAAATTACAACAAAACAAGGGAGAATGGCCTTAGGATCGAACACAAACAGCTCGTCCAAATTAGAGTAAACCCCAGAAACCCCGGCCACAGAATCGAACTCCTCCGTCGATTCCTGATTCTTCTTCACCCTCCCAGCTATCACTCTACAAACCAACATTGCCCTTTTCTCTCCCTCCATCAAAACCTTAACGCTGTCGTGAGCTCTTCCACTCGTGGCCAAGGTCTGAATCCTCCCACAATCATCAGTTTTAACCCCGTGTCTTATAATGCCGCAAGCTTTGCAGCTTGGGATAGAATCACAGAGATTGCTGGAACCGTCTAAGCCGAGGGAGCACCTGAAGGTGGTGCAGTGGAACCTGAGGAGCTCGTTTCCGTCTGCAATGCACCTGGGGTGTTTTTTGGCTGAGATCTCGCTGGCATTGTTCTTGATCGAGTCTCGGTAGGCTTCGAAGCTTGAGATTGTTTTCTTTGTGTTGTGGATTTTGAGGATTCTGTCGATTTTGCAGACGGGTGTTTGTTTCTTGAGCCAGCTTGACTGGAATATGATCTCTACTATATTTCTGCTTGTGTCCTCAGGTCCAAGTTCTGATACTGAGTTGAAGAGAAAAGTGATAAAAGCTTGATTAGAAGCTTTTTTCCAATATATTTTGAACTGCATTATTGGTTGGGGACAATTAATGCAGTGTTTCAGTTATGTGTTCAGGATTTTGAAATAGGTCAGGTTTTACGTTTGATTAGTTTTGGGTCAAAAGATGATGAATGAACTGCTGACTTTTTGTCATCAGAACCTTAAGATACATAAATCTGATGAAAAAACTAAGTTTGAGAAGAGTGGTATAGATCAATACAATCATAGGAGCTGGTATTTTCATTTTCAATGTAAAAGGAATGAAGGATGGTTTATAAAATTGTGATTTGCTTAGATTTGTGTTTCGGGTTTTCACCAATTGCATTATTTGAGATACTAATTAAAAGAACAACCCACAAAATTGCTAAATGAGTTTAACAAAGATCTCAGGCAATTAAGTTACCTGCATGCCTAACTGATTGATGAAGCTCCAAGCTCTCAGCTTTCACAAAGATCTCTCCACAATCAGGACAAGTACAAACTGTAGATCTTAAGGAAGATTCCCTCAAAAATCCATTAATAGGATCAACAACCATGTGACACTCATAGCACCCAGATAACCTCCTCAGATGCATCACCCTAAAAGACCCACCAACAGATGAAGAAACGGAAGAAGAAGCAGAAGCAACAGTAGCCAACGTAGAAGAAGAATTAGAAGACAAATAAGCCTTTGATTTTGGAACAGCAACCCCATCAGTGCTGTTATCGCCATTGATCTCTCTCAGAGATGCTCTTGGCTTTTGATTCAATGCACTGGATGTGTCTTTGAGGTGACAGAGAGAGCCGTTGCACCTGAGTTTCTTGCATTTTTTATTTTTCTTTTCCTCTGCGTCTCTGTGGTATTTGCAGCTGAAGAAGCTCTTGAGAGCTCTTCTTGAGGGTGAGTTCTCTGGTTCAGGGTGACATTTTTGGTGGGTTTTTGGTGTTTTCTTTGTATCTGCCATTGGAGAGGACAGACGTTCTTGAAGTTGGGTATTTGAGAAGGAGAGTAGAAGAGAAGGTGAGTTATGGGTATTCTGTTTTTTTTTTTTTTTTTTTTTTATTTGGGTTTTTTTTTTTTTTTTTTTTTTTTTTTTTAATTTAATGGTGATCTTGCAAAAGGTGGCTGTTTTATGCTTTGGGTAGGAGTAATGGCTTTTATGTTTCGAGGATCTATGTAATATAATTTGCTACACAGCCTGAGGACAGTGCTTTAATGTTAAAAAGATTTCTACAGCAAATTAACTATCCTGTTATATTAGATGAATTAGTAGACTAAAAATACACCCTTTCCAAATTAAGACTCCAAATTATTGACTTAACTCAAATTAAGATAATATTTATTTTAATTAATCTACATTAAAAAAATGACCAAATTTAGAGGGTCCTGTGTAAACTACATTTAAGATCATTTAAAAATGGATATGAGAAAGGGGTTTTTTCTTCATCAGGAGTATTTTTCATTTAGATGCTCATGATTTTCACATGCACTATCCAAGTTGAGGAGGGTTACTAGACGAAAGTTAAAGAGATTTAAGTAACATTTATAAAGTGTATGGGGATTACTCTAAAAACACCCAAACTTAATGGTGTTTGCTGAAAGTATCCTTAATTTTTTGGATAGTTTTTACACTACACTACATTAGCTAGCAAGTAACCCTAAGGTACCGTTTGGCAAACGGTTAAGTGAGGGGTTAAGGAGACTTAACCCCTTCTTAACCCCTAAATACAAAAAATATATATAATGATTAAAATGAGTTAACCCTTCATAATTTGTCAAACATAAAAAATATAGAAGAGTTAAAGAGATTTAAGTAACATTTATAAAGTGTATGGGGATTACTCTAAAAACACCCAAACTTAATGGTGTTTGCTGAAAGTATCCTTAATTTTTTGGATAGTTTTTAAAGTGTATGGGGATTACTCTAAAAACACCCAAACTTAATGGTGTTTGCTGAAAGTATCCTTAATTTTTTGGATAGTTTTTACACTACACTACATTAGCTAGCAAGTAACCCTAAGGTACCGTTTGGCAAACGGTTAAGTGAGGGGTTAAGGAGACTTAACCCCTTCTTAACCCCTAAATACAAAAAATATATATAATGATTAAAATGAGTTAACCCTTCATAATTTGTCAAACATAAAAAATATAGAAGAGTTAAGCTAACCCCTCTAGATCGAGGGATTAAAATGAGTTAACCTCTCAAAATGATGGTTTATTAATACTCCTATTTAGAAGGATAAAGAGTTAACTCTTCTAATTATAAAGAAAATAGTCAAAATCAGTGTTATTCCCAAACACAAAAACTGATCATAAGGATTAAAATAAAACTTATTTAACGGGTTAATAATTTAGTCCTTCGGTTTATCGAATGAGCTAAGTACATTAATCATTTTTTTTAACTCATCTTTCTTAACCATTTGCCAAACGGGGCCTTAAATGTATAATTTTCAAGTAAATGTCTTCCATAATTGTTAGAAGCAGCTGTCACCCTACAACTAATCCCGTAAATATATTTCAGAAAAAGGGAAAAGGATTGGTAAAATAAAGTAAAAGAGTAATTACTTTAATATGTGCTCATCAAGAAAAGGCTGGAGTCATCATGGGAGCTCGTTCTCTTATCAAAAAAAAATCCATGTGCTCTTCATGGGATGCAGGAGGAATAAAGGGTAGAGAGGGGGTGAAGCTTTCACAAAGTTTAAAGCTACACCTCAAGTTTTAGACATTTGGCAAATGGCAACTCACTTAAATCAATTAAATAGGCTCACTTTATGTCATCCTTTAGGCATTTTAGCCCACAGTTGGCATTTAAGTTTAGGGTGCGTGAGCTTGAGATCTTCTTTTGAGACTATCTTTAAAGGCTTTGGATGGTCCGCAACTCTATGTAATATTATGGACTAGATTCATATGATAATTAGAGCTATACTATAATTTATGAGATTAACAACACAACAGTGCGTGTAGATAGATCACCACCATCTTATTTGAGGCTAATTAGGGGATTACTGACAATTAGGCCTTATTCTAGTGCCTTTTGCTGAATTTATTGTAAAACCGTACTTTGAGGCAAAAAAAACTAAAGCCTTTTCCTTTTATGTATGAAACAAAAAAAGTAATCTTTTTGTCAGAGCTTCGATTTAGTCCAATATTAAAAGGTTAATTTACTGGATAAGATAATATGGTTTCAAAGGTGGACCAATTCGTTTCCATTCATTAGGGCTGGGCATATTCAGATCGGTTCGGTTTTATGCTCAATCCGCATCCAATCCGAATTTTTCGGATGCTCAAAACTCTCATCCAGATCCAGATTTTTTCCCCTTCATCCGAATATTCGGCCCAACCAAAATTCGGTTCGGTTCGGTTCGGTTTCGGTTTTGAATTTGCAAAGAGTTCTATCCAAAGACTTCTGTTGTGAATTTGCAAGCTGGGCATTGTCCTCATGATGAGGTTCCTGAGCTCGACAACAAAGCTTTATTAGACTGGTTATCATCTTTAGAATAAAGTTTTGAGTTGATATAATTACGCAGAGAACTAATGTTTTAAAGATGTTGTTCATATAATACAGCATGCTTATCTCTTGTAATTATCATGTACATAACACATTTTGTGATTGATTTGAATCTTATGTAATTCTCAAGATCTTTTCTGCGAAATTTTTTAACTAAAGTTTAAGTTTATTTAATTACACGGGGGAGTGATGTTTTGTATGATATTGTTCATTTAATGTAGCATATGCATCTTTTGTAAGTGCATCATGTGCATAACAAATTTTCTGGATTGATTTGAATCTTTACTTAGTTCTCAAGGATATTTTTCTGTGATATTGTTGTACTCGTTGCTTAAAATTGCTCCTTGCGCCGTTTGAACCTATTGGATGATAACAGGAAAAGTTTTGAGGTATAAGTTTAGTCTCTAAACCGCCCAACAAAATTCGGGTCGGTTTTTTTTTGGGCGGTTCAGGGGTTCAAACCGGATCCAAACCGATTTAATTCGGTTCGGGCGGTTTAGAGACTTCTTCTCATCCATTTAATTCGGTTCGGTTAACCGGTCCACTTTTTCGGGCGGTTTTTTCGGTTGAACCGGTTTTTTTCGGTTTTTGCCCACCCCTACCATTCATAATACTTGCAAAATGTAGCATGTATTTTCTTAAGACCTTAGTCTTTTGTAAAGATTTATTTCAATTTCTGGTGTTTTCTGTTGTAAATTTAACCATGATTAATTTAAAGAGAATAATCACAAGAACGTGGAAGTAATACTTGAATCCATGACGATTTGAGCACGGATCTGAATTAGGGTTTGATCTTCTAATTTGAAAGGTTTCTCTTGAATATCTCTTTAGACGGGGATTAGAGATTAGAGAACGTAACCTTTAGATTATGGACCATAACCTCTTTATATAGATTTATAATTTTCTAATTTAGCCCCTTATAAAATTAGAATTACGGTCTGGTATCTGCACAATTAGCCCATGATTTACTTAAATACTCATTAACCCAAATTGATTGATCACTTTATGCGGGTTAGCCTTAAAGATAGCATTATACACTAATATAATATATATACCCACAATTAGATTCGATCCAACAATCTCCCACTTGGGCACTATATGTTTCATTAAAACACGTACAACCTTATGAGCTCAGAAATTGCTATTACAAATTAGGGTATTTCCGAACAATCTCGTCCATTGACAATATCAATATAGGATCAAAGCGGCATTCGTCACATTTATCGTGACTAAACCCATCAATAGTCACATATACCAATATAATCAAATGACATAGATCAATCATGGATGTGCAGCATGAAAATTACATACAATGTGATCAGTACATGTCTATTTTTAACTGGTCCTACTTTAAACTTTAGTGAGGTCAAAACCAAACATAATGTAACATAGTGTCTTCACTGAAAATTTTATTCTGATCAGACAATATAATCAATCATAAAGCACCAAAAAATTATAAACTCCCACTAAATCATGATATCCTCAAATAATATCACATCCATATGAGCAGTGTGCTCATGAAAGACTTTAGGTGGCAACCCTTTTGTAAGAGGATCATCTATCATGGAGTTTGTCCCAGTGTACTCTATAGATATCTGTCAACGATGTACCCTTTCTTTCATAATTAAGAACTTAATGTCAATATGTTTTGACTTAGTTGAGCTTCTGTTATTATTGGAATACATAACTGCTGATTTATTGTCATAAAATAACTTTAGTAGTCTTTCAACCTTTTTCAGAATGTGCAGTCCAGTGACAAAATTTCGCAACCATATTCCATGATTGGATGCCTCATAGCAAGCTACAAATTCTGCTGTCATAGTGGAGGAAACTACGAGTGTCTGTTTGACACTTTTCCATGATATAGCTCCTCCTACTAACATATAAATATAGCCTGATATAGACTTTTTGCTATCTTGGCATCCAACAAAATCAGAATCAGAGTACCCAATGACCTCCACCTGTTCTAATTTTCTGTATGTGAGCATATAACCTTTTATTTTCTGAAGATACATCATAACCTTTTTGACTGCTATCCAATGATCCATACCAGGGTTGCTTAAGTATCTGCCTAATATCCCAACAATGTACGTAATATCCGGACGCGTACACACCTGAGCATATATTAGACTTCCTACAGCTGAAGCATAAGGAATCTTCTGCATTTCTTGAATTTCAATGTTGCTTTTAGGGCACTGATTGAGACTAAACTTGTCTCCTTTAGTAACAGGGATGTCACCTGATCTGTAATCTTGCATGCCAAACCTTTTGAGTACTTTATCGATATAGCTATTTTGTGATAATCCAAGTATACCTCGAGAACGATTTCGATGTATCTGGATTCCTAATATAAAAGAGGCGTCCCCAAGATCTTTTATTTTAAAATTCTTTGATAGAAATATCTTGGTTTCGTGCAACATGCTTATATCATTAGTGGTAAGCAATATGTCATCGACATACAGAACCAAAAAAATATACTTACTCTCGGTAAACTTGCGATATACACATTCATCAACAATATTTGATATGGGTGTATCTTCTCTTCGGGAG